TCTTTCTTGTAAAATTATATAACAGATGTTTCCATTTGGCATACTTTCCTGATAAATGGAAAAATGTAAAAGTTGTTCCAATTTTGAAGCCGGATAAAAATCCAGCTGAAGCTTCTAGTTACCGTTCAATAAGTTTGCTTTCTTCAATAAGTAAACTTTTTGAAAAGATAATTTTGAATAGAATGATGCTTCACATCAATACGAACTCAATTTTTGCAAATGAGCAGTTTGGATTTCGCCATGGGCATTCAACTACTCATCAACTCTTAAGAGTTACCAATTTAATTCGTTCAAACAAATCTGAAGGCCACTCAACTGGAGTTACTCTTCTAGACATAGAAAAAACATTCGACAGTGTTTGGCATTAAGGTTTGATTGCTAAATTGAAAAAGTTTAATTTTCCTCTTTATATTATGAAATAAGTTCAAAATTATTTAACAAACAGAACTCTGCTGGTAAATTATCAAACTTCCAAATCTAATCGACTACCTGTTAGAGCAGGAGTTCCTCAGGGTAGCATTCTTGGGCCTATATTGTATAACATTTTCACTTCGGACCTCCCTGATTTGCCTCAGGGTTGCCACAAATCTTTGTTCGCTGATGACACAGGCATTTCCGCTAAAGGAAGAAGTCTTCGTGTTATTTGCAGCAGACTGCAGAAAAGTTTAGATATTTTCTCTTCCTATTTACAAAAATGGAAGATTTCTCCCAACGCTTCCAAAACTCAACTTATAATATTTCCACACAAGCCTAGGGCTTCGTTTTTGAAACCTAGTAGTAGTCACATAGTCACTATGAACGGAGTTCCAATTTCCTGGTCAAACCAAGTGAAATATCTTGGATTAATACTTGACCAAAAATTAACTTTTAAATATCACATTGAGGGCGTTCAAGCCAAATGTAACAAATATATAAAATTGCAACGATTAATTCCCTTTATACCTAGATAAGATTTAGTTTTAGATTTAAGTTTCAAGATTTCAGTTGTTATACTGACATGCAGGTTTAAAAAAAACTGTTTAAAATACTGAATTGCCAAGACAGGAACAATGTTAAAACATATAGATATATACACACTAAAAATCTGAATTTTACTGGTGATGTAAACATCCATGCATGCAAACATTCATGCATGTAAACTTCCTTTTCACGTAAACTAGCAGCTTGCAAGAAATGTTGCAAACAAAGGTGGAAAGTTGCATACAATATATGGAATATTGCATGACATGTCTCATAAATTTACACGATTTATAATGTAAATTTGTATGATTTATGACGCTCCATTTATGTGCATCATAGTAACGGAAATTTACACTACTTTTTTTAGCTGTGTATCATAACAATTAAGGCTGGTAAGTTACTGTAGTAACTGGAGCACCTAGGTTAAAATGAAATGTAATTTATTTTGAATTTAGAACATTTAAATAAAAAAAAAAACAACACGCTCAAAGCTCATCATAAAGAGATTCCGTTAAGAGGTTCGACACATTTAAAAGATTAATTATTGTATCTTAAATGCAAAAAAAACATAAACTACTCATATTCATTCTGCAATTTAATTGTCCAAAAGACTGCCGTTTTCCGTGACATGTTTTTTTTTAATTTGTCAACTCTAAATGGAAGGAGAATGGGTTACCTGCAGGGCTGTCATCTGATCACTCAATACGCGCAATGTACTGATTTTCTGAAACATACAAAGAGAAAATAAAGCAAAAACAAAGTTTGCTTGTGTTTCACCCTGCGCAAGTGTAACGCTACGGAGAAGAGAAAACAGACACACATCCAGTAATAACGAAAGCTCAATATGTAAGCATCGCTCTGACGGCTCCGACGCAAACAGCGCCACTCAGTGTAGGGTTGCAAATGGGAAACCCAACAAAAAGACAAAAATTTTCTTCGTTATGCCCTTCTATGCATGCAGTCGTGGTGTGCGATGTCTGCAAAGAATTCAAAGAAGACATTAGCGCTTCGTGGGCCGCACGGAGTGTACCGCTCATTGTGTTGATCGCTTTCTCACAGATTAGTTGGAAAAGAGTGTGCCAAGTAAATGGGAGAACCACACACTCTCTGTCGAGTGTTGTGAGATGTATCCACAAAGTTGCTTTGCTAACGCTCTGAGGTGCTTTCCAGCCCTGGTTACCCGTAGAGATGTTTCGGGGCAATGAAGTCGCCACTTCCGCTTCAGAAAAGTGCAAAGCACCAACTTTTTAATGTTTCTGTCTAGAATTCACTTGATCAAAAGACCTATGATTTACAAAAAACCGGCTTACATACTACATTAAAGGAGTTTTTTCACATTTTGATGTAGGACTAGGACTACGTCTGTGATTTCTATATGGAGGTACACTTTGTGAAAAAGAAAAATGGAACATTTAACGAAATTATGAAAGATTTTGAACGTTAATAACTCAGCTGCCCTTGGACCAATTTCAATAATTTGATCACCAATCGATCAGAAATATTTCCACGCATTGAAACTATTGAAAAATGGTAAATGTCAAGCATTGTCCAAAAGCGTCGAAATAACTAACAAATCCACCAATTACTCACATGCATATGCTGTTTCCCCAACAAAGTCATCAGAGAAACGTTTCTAGACGAAACAAGTCGAAGTGGCATTCGCCTCCGATCTTCGGGCGTGTAGGGAGGATGTAGTTGCGTAACATTTTGCACACTCATCGTCATATTCAGAACCACACGCCCCCAACGACCACACAAAATGCTCTTCAGAGTTGTAATCTTGTAACCAAACTTGGAATCAGGGGTGCAAGTGATTTTGATCGATTCTCTTCATCGACTTTCTGTTTCGATAATAACTCGACGGCAAACACATTCATTGATACGTTTGTTGTTCTGGATGACAGAAGAGCATAGCGGACATAGTGTGAAATAGGTTAGTGAAGCCATGGTCATCAAAAAAGGAAATCTATGAAGAGAATTGACTTTCACCCCTCTGCTTCTAAGCCCTCTAATTCAGTCGTTGTCATAGCAATGAAAACTAGCATCGCACCGTTTTTGGTTCTTGGGTTACATTTGTTGGTTGCAATTCTACTGTTCAACATTTTCGAAGGACCACCAAAAAACATGAACGTCCAGTTATTCGATTAACGATTAATCTAAAGATTTTTCCAGCTATTCGGTTAAATATTTATCGAATTTTCAATTATTTGAGCGTGTAACCGACATCCCTTCTTATGTCTACTCACTTGATTTAGCGCAGTAGAGAGCGTCTTTCTGCTAAAGGCTAAGATTTACCAACTTGTTGAGAGAAGGAATTTAACGAGAAAAACTAAAAAGGGGAAGAGCTTTAGCTGATATTTTGCGGCCTTCCAACCTGTCGCAGACACCACTTCAACCCCTGTCCAGCAGCAGACGGGCCGAGACTCTTGCGAGTGCACAATCATTGAACCCAAGAACATGGGATTGTCCGGTCCGATTTGCTGATCCAGCTGCCTACACGTCATCATCATCTTCCATAGGCTTTAAGCCTGTACACTACCATCGGCCCTTTTCAGAGCAACCAAGATTTTCCAAAAGAGTTAAATTTCTGAACATGTCCTAACTAAAATTCCTGCAATCTTTTGTGCGTAAAAGTAGAACAAATATATAAGCTAGAAGAGCAATATCAGTGATTGCGGTGGCTCAAGGAAAATTATATAAAGTATTTCTGAAAACATGACGTTGCAAAGTCAGTAAGCCATTCGGGTGAGATCTTTTCATTTTATCTATTTACATTCCATTTTTATTACTGATTCATCAAATCCTCTGTATTGACGAATACAGTTTCCTAATCATTTACCCTCCCACTAACACAACTCTTCCCTTCCTATGACATCTATGAAGGTAGGGTTCTCTGCACCTTCTTAAGTAGATGTTGGATTAACTTTCCCTCCCTTCCCCTACGATTGTAAGGATGTGGCCAAGTGTATAATTCGATGCAAAACGTATTAGTTGACCATTTATAGCCACCCACGATTTGTGCATGCTATGCTATGTCCTAACTAAAATTCATATCAAAAGGTTCTTTTCAGGACAATCATAGTCATACTTAAGAGAGTATAAACAGTATAAATTCCTACACAAATCACAAGCTGCAGTTAACAAATAACAATTATTATATACGACCACGTAGTCCTACGGCACCATTGCGTACAACCCCATAGGGCTGTCCCTTATAGTTTTTTTTTTACGAATAAAGGTGAGAGTCTAGGATTGCGATACATTGGGGTTGGGATAAGATGGAGTAACCAGGTGGAAGGAAACCTACGGAGCATTTCGAAATAATATAGTGGTAATCCGTTTCTTGTAGCTCTTGATTCACGAACCAAGTGAAGGTTGTGATCTGCATTGAACAGTTCTCTGTAATGTTTACGTTCGATGATTTTTTGAACTAAGCGTGTGTGTGTTTTTTCCAATGCACTTTGAGTAGAAAGTCATTTCTATTGATTTTAGTAAGCCAGAAATGGATACCAGAAGAAGATGATTTGTACAAACTCATTATTTACATATGGACTGAACCCACTTAATATAGTTTTATCAAGGTTTTAAAGCATTCTATAAGTCCAAATCATGGGTGATAAATTTGGATTTCCAAGTTCCGTTCCCACTCGAAATACACTTGCTAGTTAGTTTTTTGGCCAGGTTCATTCCTCAGAAAATAATTGATGACACATGATTTTGAACGATTTTGGTGAAGGTAAAAAAAAAAAACAATAAATCAATGATATTATTTATGATTTCTGCTCGATATAACAGAAAAAGGCGTTTACGACGAAGTATCTACCCTATGTGTTCTCGTAGATTTTGTGTTGTATCGTATGAACTTAACTATTGTACCAAACGTATGATTGATTCGTTCATATCGAAATCATTGACTTTTTAATGTTTCTGCTCGATATGACGGAAATAGGTACATATGCTGAAGTTCTGCCCTATCATATCTCCATTCCCTAGAATAAAGTTGATCACCGCACCATTGATGGAGTTTAATTCATACTTACGAATATGTTTGTCTTCATTTTGAAAGGACTTCTTGCAAACTATCCTTGCTAATTCGACAGGCGTATCTGACTGCTGTTCGGTTTTTCGTACTGCGGTATAAGCTGATGGTTAATCATTGATTCACCGGCATAGGTTAAGCAATCACTTTCAACTCCTCACAGAGCTTTGTTCTACAATCTAGCTGTATCACAGAATCGTTATCATGTCTAAAAATCACTTCAACGCATTACAATAATTAACATGGCATTAGTCATCTGAAAAGTTGTAGGTTTTCGTTTTCCACCTTTTTCCGATCGGTTACATTCTCCAAAAAAAATAATCACGCAAAACCCTTCACACCAAGCACCAGAAAGCAGATAGGAAGGAACTTTGGATTTCACCACCCGACAGTACGAGCGAGTATTTTTCTTCTTTTCCACTCGACGGCCCGCGCAAGAATATCAACCGATACTAGAAGGCACGTAACGCCCCGATCGCCCGCAGGGGGGAAAACGATCATCTTCGCCAGTTCGGTTTGCAATGAATGATTCTTGATGGTTGATAGTAGGCGCAGATGTAGTAGATGGAATGGACGCTGAGGCCTGAGGTGTCGCGATTCTTGATACTGGCACTGTGGAAAATTTCCAATTAGGTGGGGATTTAGTTGGTGGAGATGCATTTTTCACCGTGTCGATTGTTTAGATACATTCGAGAAGAGTGATGACTATGCTGAGTTTTGGCCGGTGAGCGATGATGATGATCGTCGCTGCTGCTGTTTTGGCGGTATTTTATGTGATTCGCTTTGTTGGTTCGGTTTTGCGTCGGTTCGGAGGCTGCATCCCCTTAAACACAGACGCCGCTCGGAGGTTGTTATGGGTACATTGTTAGGAGGATTGAATCCATCGATGCCCTGCGGCTAATAGTTCTATGCCTGCAGGGATGATTGCGGAACATGCTACATGGTGCTAGTATGCAAATCGAAAATCTGTTGGCCGATCCTAGGGTTAGGGTCAGCACAAGCTCCTTGGCATAAGACTTTGTAAGGCTGTCAATTGTGCAGAAAATCTGATGATTACATTTTATTAGTTGGTACTCATTCTTTAGTTTAGTTCTGGATTGGTACAAAATAGATGCTGACATTATTGGCAAAGTTATGAATTTTTCTCCATCAATTTACATAGACCTGAAACTTTTACAAAAATTACAGTTCCGAGAATTTCAATCAATCCGTCATTTAAAAAAATCTAAATCCAGAGCTTTTATTTTTTTCTAAATTCCTCGAACCTCTGCTTATTTTCTAGTTCAAGTATGAGAAAGGGATGAAGAAAATGTTATCCCACTATTAGAATCTCACATTGCTTTTCAAATTTAGAAACCACTTTGGAAGTCAGGATCTTGAAATATTTTTGAAAGCTAGTTGTCAACGATTTATCAAAGATCAGAATCTCGCTGATTTTTCTTCTCTAAATCCGGGTTATGGGATATCAATCTTCAGTCAGCGTTCTGCTATCACGTTTCAAAAATGTGCCGTTATTCCTCCTCCATTCAAGCTGCTGTTGCTGCTGCTAGAACGGAGGATTACGATACCAACCGTTAGACTCTCTCATCACCTGTCCAAGTGTCCGCCGAGGTGGGCGTCTACAGCCACGAAGCGATGGTGCGAGGTGCAATCATGATCAATGGTTCCTTGCTGATCATAAAGCATGCAACCCACGAGTGTCTTGAGAATTCTACCACCTGTACCTGTGCCGTGTGTCTGAGCATTAATGATGCTTGACCCCCACGGTGTGAACACCCCTGGGGATGAGTGCGGCAATTTGCCAATGTAAATACGCGCAAATTCGACGGCCTTCAGCTGTCGAGAATGTTTGGGGAATGATGCGAGGTGTCGAGGCGTCAACTTGGGATGCTTTCGTCATCAGTTTGATTCTTGTTCGCTCTCTGATGTTTGCAATCACAGTTCAAGAGGTGTTGAATCTACAATTGATGGTTTCCTTTTCAATAAATCATCCCATCACAATTTTTTCCCTTGTATTACAGCCGTATACAGTAGAGCAATCAGCCTAATGTCAAAATTTGTCAAAACGACTCCCACCGTTTCGTTGCAATAAGATACATATCGGATGACTGGTCAAAAGTCGTGTGACATCATTCTAAGCGAAATTTTCAACATTTGCGACCATCAATATTTAGGTAATAAATAAAAATGCACTGAACACAGCCGCCAACAGACAGACAGTCAGCGGCGTGTATTTTATGTCGTCGTAAAGTCTCCAAAAAATCAGCCATCTACACAATTTGCCGAGTCCCAAATAATTTAACCACTGGACGGTAATCCTATCCTCGAATGGTCTCGTCAAATTTCAAAACACCACCCCCTCGTCGAATCATACTGGTTGTTGTATTAAGATTCACTCAATCGATAGTGATGATTCACCAGCATGAGCATGCAGTGTTTTGCAATATTTCATTCGGAATGGAAACACAGCTTTGGAAATGTCAAGTATTTTAATGATTAATGAGCATCCAGCAATTTCATCGATGCAATTTCTGAAATTTTTGAAGGTTGACGTCACTTGACTATTCTATTAGCAGATCAGATGCACTCGGTCACTTTTTGCCAGTTCTCTGATCCGAGATAGGTAAAAAGATCTACTGGCTACGGGAAATAAATTTGAAATGGTTTTACGACATGTTTTGGCGAGGTTCAGGATTTCGATTTTATGCCGATTGATTTTGCTTTGTGCTTGCGTGGAATTCTCGCCTCACTTTTCAAATAGACCAATCTGGTACAATATCTTAATAAACTTTTTCTTTCGTTAATAACTCGGCTTCAAAAACAAAACAAAAAACAGTCTGCAATATGAATGCAGCCAAGTTATTAACGAAGAGAAAATCGAAGAAGAGAATCGTCAATGTAGATTGGTCTATTAGAAAAGTGACGCGAGAATTATAGTATCGATGAGCAGCACCCTTTTCAGAACTGTATTGTCAAGTTTGACGTCGGTAGAAATTTTATGGCTTGTTGGCGGGTCCCCCTGATAGTCGTCTGGGCTGGGGAGTCCGGTCTGATTATTGTGATGCCAATCAATAACTGTGGAAGAACTCAACACCAAGATGAGAGAAGACACGAGTTCCAGAAAAAACGTAAGGAGGGTAAGTCAGCAGGAAGAATAATACGATCTGAAATCGACTTCCGCCGCAGGTTATTTGCCTTGGCGTTGGAGGATGTTTATGGTTAACTGAATATTGATTAACTTTTCATTTCAAGGTTGTGGGAAAATGGCAAACAGATGTGCTTGCGAACTCAAAAATTAATGATGCTTTAATAAATGCAATAAAATCATAACCTAATAAAAGCTAATTTCACGTGACAGTTATTGGCAACTTTGGCATAGAACAAAAAAAACTCAATTTGGAGTTTCTCAGTTTCGTAACTGACGGAATGAATTTTAAATTTTTAATGAGTTTTTAATAGATTTATTATTTTTGAACCTATTCCACGCAATATTTAGGAGGAATTGTATACTAATAGTGGATATTACATTGCACCAGCTACTAGACAAACCAGCTACCGTAAACCGTGCAAATTGGAAGACTATGGTGGGCTGGGCACGTCGTAAGAATGTCGGACGACAGCCCGGTGGAAATGATTCTCGATAGCGACCGAACTTGAACAAGATGAAGAGGTGCGCAGCGTGTAAAGTGGATCGATCAGGTGCAAGGCGACCTGCAGTCTGCAGAGCCTTTGCAGACAGCACCTGAGATGTGCCTCCAGTGATGGAAAAATTCCCAAAAATTTAATGTGACTCACGAAGTTTTCCCTTGTTGAACTACGTGTAATATCGCGTACTTTATAAACGCTGAGTGCAGCCACGGATCGACTTGAATGGAGATGTGTAGGAGGATACTCAGGTCTTACCCTGAATGGTAAGGTAAGTAAACTTTACAGTGGTTCGACTTTGCTCCACCAAGCTCAATCAATTTCAAATCTGGTACACTGAAACCTCCGTTTACGAAGTCTTTTTTTACGCAGTATTCAATTTACGTCCCTCTTTTTATGAAGTAAATCCCAAATAACAAGTTTTTTTTTTTACGAAGCAAATCCCAAATAAACGAGTTTTCTTTTTACGAAGTAAATTCCAAATAACGAGTTTTTTTTTGCGATTATGCGAATCTGGGAAAAACTATGAAATATCCCACAATATGGGCATCTTTGGAATCGGAGTGAGATGTAGGAACCGGAAACCCATGTCTGACGCCATTTTGAAATCCAAGATGGCGGCATCCGGTTCATGAAAAACTGGAAGATACTTTCAATACCCCACAATATGGGTATTTTTGGAATCGGAGTGACGTGTAGGGCCGGAAATCCATGCCTGATGCTATTTTGAAATCCAAGATGGTGGCATCCGGTTACAGAAAACCTGGAAAATAATGTCAAATACCCCACAATATGGGTATTTTTGGAATCAGGGTGACGTGTAAGAACTGGAAATCCATGTCTGACGCCATTTTGAAATCCAAGATGGCGGCATCCGGTTCACGAAAAACAGGAAAATACTTTCAATACCCCACAATATAGGTATTTTTTTGAAATCAGGGTGACGTGTAGGAACTGGAAATCTATGTTTGACGTCATTTTGCAATCCAAGATGGCGGCTTCCAGTTACAGAAAACTTGGACATTCTGCCAAATACAACACAAAATGGGTATTTTTGGAATCGGAGTGTCGTGTAGGGACCGGATATCGATGTCTGACGCCATTTTGAAATCCAAGATGGCGGCTTCCGGTTACATAAAAACTTGGAAATTCTGTCAAATACCCCACAATATGGGAATTTTTGGAATCTGAGTGACGTGAAAGGACCGAAAATCGATGTCTGGCCCCATTTTGAAATCCAAGATGGTGATTTCCGGTTACAGAAAAACTTGGAAATTCTGTCTTATACCCCACAATATGGGTATTTTTGAAATCAGGGTGATGTGTAGGGACCAGGGCTTGAAAGGGGATCGCATATCGACTGTGACTGCGTGATCGCGTACGTTTTCTGCATTCAATGTGCAAAGCAAGCACGTTGGTTTGACTGGCAAAATGGCGCAGTCGTTCTGCCTTTTGTCGATTGCTTGTGTGCTGTTTGCTGCAGCAACTCGGTGGAAGCCGATTTTTCAATTCATTCATTCTCCCACTTATCGTGCATGTTGAAAGTTGAAGCTGCAGAATGACCGGGAGTATGCTGCGTATTTTGTTTTCATTTCTCTTTTCCAATGGTGAGCTATGCTGTACGAGTCTCTCGATAGACGCGGTAGGAAATATGTTATATTCACCGCTATAACTCGGCTCAAACAAATCGATCTAATTTTTAATATTTAAAGTCTCTGGTTGCTATTACGGCCAAATTTGACCGATTTTGAATCTTTTGGCACCATAGGATTCAGAAATTTGTGTTCTTTCTGGACATTGCCAACAATGTCCATTTGGAATAGTCTGGTTCTAAGAAATCCGGATTGTTTCAGAACT